AAGCTACCTTTTGAGAACAAGGCTGAAATAAACATATTCAGAAAAACACAAACTGATAGAGTTTACTACCAAAGATTCTCACTATAAGAACTTCTACAGAAGGTATCTCAAAAAGAAAGGAAATATTACCAGAAAAAAAAATGGTTGAGATGTAAAAATAAATAATAAGTAAAGTCAAAAGAAGTGCTAAACACTGCACTTAATGAGCTTGATCCAACAACTGGAAAATAAAATTTTTTTCCCAAGCATACATGAAACATTTACAAAAATTGCCCAAAAAACTTGTACTTGATAAGCCTTAAAGCAAGTCTCATATAATTTCAAAGAAGTAGTATCAGGCCATACCATCTGATAATGCAATTATGTTAAAAATCAACCACAAAACAAAATAACTTTAATAAGCAAAACTATACACTTGGAAACAAAAACAACCCATGATTCCAAGAATAAATATGTTGGAAATGAGAAAATATTTAGAATGTAATGATGATGACTATCTACTTATGAAAACTGTGGGATATGCCTAAAGCAGATACAGGTAACTATAGACATATTTTGGAGATATTGAAAGTGCAATTCCAGACCACTGGAATAAAGCAAGTATCACAAGAAAGCAAGTAATAATCTCTTTGCTGGTGGAAGGTCTTGCCCTCAGTTTGTAAAAAACACAACACCTACGAAGTGCTATAAAGCCAAGTGCAATAAAACATGGTATGCCCGTAAACCAGACCCAGAATGTTTTACAGGTGATATCTACCAAACAATCAACAAACAGATCATTTCAATTTTACACAGAATCCTAGAGAACAGAGGAACCACTCCACAACTCATTTCGTGAGACTAGTATAACCCTGATAATACCAGAATCTGACAAATACTATACAAAAAAGAAAAACCGCACGCCAATCTCATTCATGAACATGGATGCAAAATCCTAAACAAAACAGCAAATCAGATCTGGGAATATATAATAAAAGATAATGTATCACAACTAAGTTGTGTTTCTTCCAAGAATGCAAGTGTGGCTCTATATTGGAAAATATATTAATTTCAATCATCTCAATTAAGAAAAAAACCCATTTGATTAAATTCCATAACCACTCAATTAAAACTCTTCTCAAACTGGGAATAGAAGGGACAGTCCTTCACCTAACAAGTAGAACTGCAAGTTGTGAAGGACTTCCAGGAAGGCTCCTTAAAGGGAGCTGAGTCCCATGAAGGCACACTTTTTTGCCTGCCCACTTCTCTGCTTTCTGAAATGGGGACTAAATGGCTGATGCTCCAGCACCTATTCTGGCCTGTGAGGTGACCTTAAGGATGAAACAAGATACTGAACATAGAGGAAGAGGAGGAGCAAGACAGAATGAATCTGGGTCCCTGATTTCTCAGGGACTCTACCACACAGTTGCATGCTGAGTTGCCCATCTCTGGATTTCTTTGAAATGTGAAACGAAGTCTGTGTGTATTTACGACATTTTTACTTATGTAGTCAAACCCCATCTTAACCGAAACACCATTTCTATTCAAAATGGTACTGGAAGCTCTAATATGGGCAAAGGCAAGAAAAATAAAATATGTGAACACTGTTAAAAAACAAAACTATAATTATTCACATACGAATAGAAAACCCAAATTAATCTTATAGAAAATTACAAGAAATGAGAGTTTACCAGGACAGCCAGAAAAAAAGTCAAATGCATGTCCATATACCAGCAACAATCAGTTAAAAATCTTTAATTTAAAAAAAATACCATTTATAATTAGCAACAAAAACAAGGCACCTAGGAATAAATCTAATCTAAAAGTCAAAACTTTAATGTAGAAAATTATGAATCGTTTGGAAAGATTTTAAGAGGACCAGAATAGCTCAAGAATAGTACGAGTGGTTGAGATGTTACCCGAGCAATAGTGATCAAATCCCAACACAGTTTTTCGTGGAACTTGACAAGCTAAATTTTATATGGAGAAGTAAAGAGCCAGGAATAACTATGACATTACCGAAGAACACAGTGAAGTATAAGGACTTGCCCCCAGATACCAAAAGTTATAAGGCCACAGTATTCAATGAAGTGGGTGCTAGAGCAGAGACAGAAAAATGGACTAATGGAACAGAACTGAGAGTCTAAGAACAGACTCACACATATACATTAACTTAAAGTCAGTGGCAAATGATGAAATAATCAATTAATGAGGCTAGGACCATTGCAATAAAAACAAAACAAAGAAATTGGATACCTATCTGACAACATACATAAAAACTCAATTCTAAATGATGGAATATTTTTAAATATGATAAACAAAACTATTTTAAAAAATTTTAATATAGAGTATCTTTAAGAGTTTGATAAAAAATTCTTAAATATTTTTTAAATTGACTTTTCAAATATATTAAACTTAAGGAGAAAATATTTGAACTATATTAAAAGTAGCTCTTCCCAATGAAAGAAAAAAAGGAAAGATGAGAAGAAAAAATAGAAAAATAGGTCCCAAACTGAGAAATGCAGCATGACTATCCACACTAATACAAAATGCTCTCAAAAATCAGTAAGAAAAATCAGCAAAAAAACAAAAAATGGTAAACACGAATAGCCAATAAATATTTGAAAAGTTGTTCAACTTTATTAGTAATCACAGAAAGCGAATTAAGACCCCAAGAAACTATTTCACACCCATCAGATTAGGGAGAAAAAAACTATTAAAAGTTGCCAAAAACGTGCATCAACTGGAACTCTCCTACACTCCTGATAAGAGAATAAATTGGTACCAGGACTTGGGGGGAAATCTGGTTTTACTAGTAAACTGAAGATGCACACCCTATGTTCCAGCAATTCTACTGATACACCTTTGCACATCTGCACCAACAAATAGGTACAAAAATATCATAGAAGCCCTGTACACAATACAAAAGAACTGCAAAAATCAAAATGTCAGTAACAGGGATATAACAGTAAAAAGAACAGGGATATAACAGTAAAAAGAGCTCCACCTACATGCGTCAACATGGATTAATCTCGAAAACAAAATAAACAAGTCAGAGATATATATGGTATGATTCCATTTATATAAAGGTCAAATTGGCAAAATTGAACAACATACTATTTAGGAATGCCTACATGTGTAATAAAACTATATAGAAAAGCTTAGGATACTTAACACAAATTTCAAAAGTTTATTTCTGGCTGGTAGGGAACACTTAATTAAAGAAATACAAACTACTAACAGGTAAAGTTCCATTCCTTAAAATGAATGAGAGGGCCTCATGTGTTCATTTAATCTCTGTGAAGAGTACTGTATACATATAAACTATATATACTCTTCTCTGTGCACTACATATTATGTAATAAAATTTAGGTGACTCAAAAAATATCCAAAAAGCTGTTTTAAATGATCTTCTTGCTCATCTCCCTGTTTAAAAAAAAAAAAAAAATCTGTTGGTACATAAAAATGGTCTTTTAACTGTAATAAAACAATGATATCAGCATCTGGTACTTTTAGGGTTGCTCTCTAAAAAACTGCTATTAAAGATATTCATACATACCCTACCCTATATAATGTGCATCAATTTGTTTACCAAAGCGACACTAAAGTGCAAAATCCTGTACAGGCTTTGCCCAGAAACATAACATAGACTGTACAGACTTGCCCCAATACATCCACTACTTTTTTATACGCCAACTAACATGCACCCTGCATCTGTTAATGAAGTCCTTTAAGACAGCAACATTATAACAAATTTGTTAAATGCTAAGTAAACACTGAGGGAGACTATCATTTAATTATGGTGCATGCGATTTCCATCTTAAATTGCCACGTGAAATCTCAAAAGATCTTACGTGCTTAAGGCAGAGGTACCTGAATTTGAACAGTGACAACTAGGTGACTTTAGACAAACTTATTTTAATATAATAATATCCCAATAAAATGTATTTTCCAATTTCTGCAGCACCACTAGCAGAAATTGGAAAATACATTTTATGAGCACTCATTCTGGCAGCTAAAACCCCGAACATCAAGAGCCACATGAGCCAGTGACAGTTATGAGAACCCTCCCCCCAATTTCCTGAAACACGTTATCTTCCACAACTCCAGATCTCCCCTCCAGAGTCCTGGGTGCGGAGGACAATGGGAGAAAGATCGCTAGGGAGTTACAAGGAGTCCGTGAATCATATGGACAAAAGTTATTTGGGACCTTGCAAAACATTAAGTTATCTAACTCCCTCATTTTGCGAATGGAGAAATTGTGTCTCAGGGAGAAGCGCACCTGCTCAGGATCTAACGGCGATTTAAATTCGTCCCTTATCCTAACCCCGTGGTCCTTCCCGCCACCCAATCTCAAATGCTTCAATGTGTTGCTAACACAAAGGAGGTAATAAAACCCGCATCTCCGCAGTGTGGCCAGATTGTCAGGGCTAGAAAGGGTCGCAGAGGTAATCCGGGAGAGTGACGCAGCTTGAGCAGTAAATAAACCCTCTGCCACCGAGCACCAGGAGCCTGACAAAGGCGGTGAAGATCGCTGGCGACCCCACTTCCCGTCTCCATGACAGCGTGTGTCAAAACACACCATCCCTAGATTTCATTCAGCAAGAATCATGCGCTTCCCACGGAGAATCTGGAAGAGGGGGAGGCAGAGAAATGTGAACAGCTGGTGCACAGCACCGAGAAAGCCGCGGAGGGACAGGCACTCTCTCCCGCATCCGTCGGTGGGGAGAAGAGGAAAGAGTAAGGCTGCGGTGCCTCCCGCCAGAAGAGGTACCTGAGCCTGGTGCCGCAGTCCCCCGCCGCATCCGCACTAGAGCCCAACACACCTGCTTCCGGGGTCAAACCGCGGCGGGGAGGCCCGAGACCTAGATAGGGGGCCTCAGGCCCCGCCCAACCCAAGCCCCGCCTCCGCTTTCCACTCCGCAGGAGACCAGGGCAACTTCCGGGACGCCGCGCGTCACTAAGCAGCAGATCCCCACTTCCGGACACATCCCTTCTTTCGCGGTCTCTTTCTCAGACAACGAGATTTCGATCGAGATTTCAGCGCGTTTGATTGGCGGAGCGAAAGCGTGCTGGTCTCCGCCGATTGGTTCCGGGGAAATCCATCGTAGACGTCCGCGGAGCGCTCGGTCTCATTTTTACGCTTGTTTGCCGCCAGCTGCAAATCTTGCTTCGCAATCATGGTGGACATAATGGATATGCCCAAGTCCCGCGTCAACGCCAGCATGCTACCTCAGTTCATCGACCGGCCGGTCTGCTTCGTAGGGAGGCTGGAAAAGGTGCGCGTACTCACCATCCCGGTTCCCCGGTCTGTAGTTGCGGGGACAGACCCCGTGACCTCCTGGGTGGTAGCCTCACGGTGGGTAACGGAAAGTTGAAGGAGGACAGAAAGCCTGAGAGCATCACTGCGCTCCCACTTGCTTTATTTTGCACAAGGGGACTTTGCACACTTTTTAGCTATTACAGCCCCATTTTGGCGCGGAATAACAATGTTTTCGAATACTCCGTTCTAAGTTCTAGTGTCCCCCGTTCTGTTTGTGTTTGCATAAAAGAAATTATGAACATGGCCCCCACACTTACCTTCTGATATTTTACATTAGCCGTGCTTAACTGGTAGTCTAATTTTGTTTCCTTCTGCCGTTTTCTCGTTGAAGTTACCGCTCCATAAAACATTCCTTGATTGTTCCTCCCAGATTCCATAGCAATCTTTTATCTTGCCCCACTGCTTGATTGCAGCCCCTTCATTCTACTGGTGAGAAATAGGCCCAAAGCCTCGGAATCAGTGAACCGAGGAAGCTGAGAGAAAACCAGTGTTATATAAAGGCTTAGTAGTTCATTTTGGCCATACATCCTCTTGGTGAAACGGGTGTTTTGTTCCGACTCCACAGGTAGGGAAACTGGATAGGAGTGGATAGGCCACAGCAAGTTACAAAGTTGGCTGCACTCTGCAGCTGTCTGACACTAGAACCGTTCTCTCTTTATTTCATCATGCCCAGTTTTTAAAACATACCTAAGAGGGCTAATGTACTATTTAAATCATGGGTGCCAGTAGATCTCACTTTTAGGTAATATGGACCCCTTTCATTTTTTCTTAGCATAGCGTTGCCAGATTTAGCAAATAAAAATACAAGACATATTTGTACTATTGTTTATCTGAAGTTGAAATTAAACTAGGCGTAGTTTAACCAGATAAAGTAACACAAGATTATAATTTGAACCAAATAAACTGTTCAAAAACAACTGCTTTGTATGCATCTACTAACTTTGAGTCAGTATGCCCATCTTGTGTCAAACATATTTTTACTTAAATGAGATTTTAAGTTTTGTTATGTGAGATTTTTAAATCCTGTTTCTTTTTTAGGTTCATCCCAGTGGAAAAATGTTTATCCTTTCAGATGGAGAAGGAAAAAGTGGAACCATTGAGTTGATGGAACCTGTATGTTTAAGTATTAATTCATGTATATTATAGTTAATTCTACATCTTGTTTTGGTTTGTTGCTGATATTTCTGATTCCTGGAGTGGTTGTATAAAGGACCAGCTTATAAAACTTCCCTGGTTCTAAAATTAAATTTTTGTCCTCTTCTTACATTTATGTCTCTTAACATGTCTAACAAAGGATTTTTGGGGCTCTGTGATTTTTTATTACATTCCTTAGATACTGGGTTCTTTTCAATGAGTACTTTTAAACAGATTACTCCTTGTAGAAATTCTAGACATCCTCAGTATCTTTAAATGATTTTGTTTCCAACTTAAACTTTAACCTATCTTTGGACCTATGCTAAAAATAACAGGACTTGTAACATGCTGACCATAAGTGTTCAAACTTTTTTTTTTTTTTTTAAGTTGCAATTAAATTTCTGCATTGGTAAAGTTTTAAGTTACTTTATTACATGAAATCAAAGATTAGTAGACTATACCAATTTTTCAAGTTAATTATCAACTGAAAATGTGATAGTATGAAGTTAACATTTTTTTCTTTGTGTTAGCTTGATGAAGAAATCTCTGGAGTCATGGAAATAGTTGGAAAAGTAACAGCCAAGGCAACCATTATGTGTGCATCTTATGTCCAGTTTAAAGAAGATAACCATCCTTTTGGTAAATAAAGCATTCTAGTTTTATATATTTAGGAGGAAAACAGTTTTATTCTTATCATGTCTTAGGTCTTGAGTCTCAGTCCTGCTATATTTTCGAATTCTATAGAATTTTCTGATCCCAAAGGAAAACGGGAGGACATTTTGGCCTGTTCGTAAGTAGTGCACATATACGTAGGAAACTCAGATTAATTAATATTTGTGGAAAGAGAAATTTTTAAAATAGAACCAAAATGTTCATCTTTTTTGTTTTAATGTCTGGTTTAAAGGCCTCAAATAATGCATAGCACCTGAAACACCACCAGGCAGGAACTGTGCCTGTACAATGGATCGTCTCCTGCACCCCCGTGTCTTTTATTTTTTTTGGAGCCACAGTTAAATAAATATGATCAATGGCTCAATTTTAGAAGATGGATTGTGAAAATAAGTTGACTTCTAAAAGGGAGAGGAAAGAGAAAGAGGTAGAAATCTTTCAGATAATAATTGGTGTTACAACTTTCCACTGTAGATTAAATGTTTGCTAAAATGTGTCTTTCAGATCTTGGACTTTACAATGAAGCTGTGAAAATTATCCATGAGTTCCCTCAGTTTTTTCCTTGGGGAGTTGTACAAAATGATTGATCCTGATTGTAGACCAACTGCATTGAAGACTGTTAAGGCCCCTGATATTTGAGGGAGAGATTCTGTTATTTAATTTGTTCTCTTTTACCTAACTTTATTAGATATTCCAGTATGCTATTTTTGATGGAATTGGTATGTTGACAGTTCTCACCTGCATCCTCATAAAGAATCACTTCTCTGGCATATGGTCAGAACAGATGCAAGAGCAATAGTCTGAGTTTAGTTTTCTGTTTTAATAAAAGTTTAAATGGTACATATTATTGGTCGTTTCATTCTTTTTCGTTTAGTCAGGTATTAAAGCTCAAACTTGGAATTTCATAGTTGTAAGGTCAGAACTTAGACCTAGCAAATTAAACCCCAGGCCAACTGTGTTAAGAATTTACTTGCTACCTCATGAACTACACCATGTTATTTCCTTGACACACTATGAAAAAATGATTTTGATTTATTAAAAGAGCAAACAGAATCCTTCATCTTCTATAATTTGCGAGTACTATAGTAGAGACTCAGAACCCACGGAATATAAGGAGGTTTGTTGTAGGAGTAGGTTTACATAGTTATGGAGGCCAAAATGTCCCATGATCTATCACCTACAAGCTGGAGAACCAGGAAAGCTGGTGGAGTAATACAGTTCGAGTCCAAAGGCCTGAGAATCAGGGAGTTGATGATGTAACTCGCAGTCCAAGGTCAAAGACCTGAGAACTGAAGGCCACTGGTATAAATCCCAGAGTACAAAGGCCCAAGAACCAGGAGCTGCAATGTCTAAGGGCAGGAAAAGATGGACATCCAGCTCAAAAGGAGCAAACCCACCCTTGCTCTGCTGTTTTATTATTTGGGCTCCCAAATGGTTGGATGAGGCCCACCTACTTTGGTAAGGGCCATCTTTTTTACTTAGTCTTCTGATTCCAGTGCTAATCTCTTCCAGCAATACCATCCTGGAGACCCAGAAATAATGTTTTACCAATTATTTGAGTGTTCTTTAGCCTGTCAACACATAACCATCACAGTACCTCTTTCTCAAGATTTTAAAACTGAGCACTTACTAATGCAAAATAAGAGATACCAGATTAATAATGCAGTGAAATCATTTGATTCTTTTTCTTCCTTTCAACTGTCATCTTTAGAATGGAATTCCTGTTTACCTGCACTTCATACCACCACATAACATTGGGGGTGGACAGGTACTGATGTGGCAGCATAGGAGAGAGAGTAATGCTGAATAACTGGTGACCTATATGGCCAGTCAGGTTTTATAAATCCATTTAGATCATAAATTATACTGAAAATACTTTTAAATTGATAACATCTTCAATTTCGACTTTCATCCCAAAATATTCTACAAATTACAGAACATGACCATAGCTAATTATGGTAAAATATCTTATTATAGGAAGTAAAGAGAATGTTGGTGAAATTGAGGGACATCAGCCAGTCCCAATAACGGTGTTGTCTTGAATGGAGTTAGTCCTAAATTGTGTTAATTTCTGAAAATTCAGTGCTATTAAATGTTAAAGATGCCCCTGCTTGAAACCTTCCCTGGAACTACTTACTATGTTTAATAAATTGGATTAAATGAATATGGTATTGCACTTTTCATCAAATGAATCCTTTATACTAATGATTTATAGTGCCATATTTCAAGTTCCAGCCTCACTGCACCATTGCCTCTGGATATACCACCAGCAGTTTAGCTCAAACGAGTGTAATTTGAATGAGTATAGCTGCCCTGCCATCTGTTCCCTGATTTTTTTGGTAGTTTTATGGCTTTAGTATATTCACAGTTGTACAACCATTGTCACAATCAATTTTAGTACATCGCCCAAAAAAAGAAACCCTGTACCATTTACCTACCTATCATGGCCTAATCCTTCCACCACCCCACCCACTCCCTGGCTCCAAGAAACCACTAAACCACTTTCTATCTCTATAGATTTGCTACTCTGAACATTTCATATAAATAGAACCATATGTGGCCTTTTGTGACTTCGCTTAGCATAAATGTTTCAAGGTTCATCTATGTTGTAGCATGTATCAGGGCTTCTTCCTTTTTTATGGCCAAATACTATTCCACTGTATGGATATAGTACATTTTTAACCTATCATTTGGTGGATATTTGAGTGGCTTCTACCATTTGGCTATTATAAATAATATTATGAATATTTATGTATAAGTTTTTGTGTACACGTTTTTATTTCTCTTGGGTATATACCTAGGAGTAGAATAGTAAATATATTTAACTTTTTGAAAAACTGTCAAACTTTTTCAAAATGTCTGTACCATTTTCCATTCCTAGCAGCAGTATTTAAGGATTCTAATTTCTCCACATCCTCACCAACACTTGTTACCATCTGACTTTTTGATTTTGGCATCAGAATGGGCATGAAGTGATATCTCATTATGGTTTTTATTTGCCCTGTTTCTTTTAAAACTGCCATAAGCCATCCTTATTGCCCAGAAAGCTTGAATCGCAGCAATCCTTTTCACTATTATTGCCACTTATAAGTTCAAGCAACTGTCATCTCTTACTTCAGCTACCGCAACAGCCCTAGCTATAACTGGCCTGCTTGTTTCCAGCTTGTTCCTATGACTCAGCCAATGCGGTTGCTTTAAACATCAGTTGTAATCATCATACTATAAATTTTAAAAACCAGAGAAGTTTTCCGAGAAGCTTACTGTGTACAAACCTGGCCAATATTACCTTAATGAAGAAATCCGTTAACACCAGTCTATTTACGAGGAAACGAGACAAATCAAAAATGAGGTACATTCTACAAACTGATCAGTACCCCTCAAAACTGTCAAGCTCATGAAAAACGAAGAAACTCCCAGAGCAAAGAAGACAAAGGAGACATGACAACTCGGTATGATGTGGGATCCTGGACTGGCTCCTGGAACAGAATAAGGACATTGATGGAAAATCTGGTGAATGAAGTCTGGAGTGGTTAATAAAACCAATGTTGGTTTCTTAGTTTTAACAAATGTACCATGGTAATGTAAGATAACATAAAGGGAAGCAAAGGGTGAGAGATTATATAAGAACTCTATATTCATAACTTTTCTATAAATCTAAAATTACTCCAAAATGAAAAATGTGTTTTTAAAAAGTTAATCTCCAGAGACTCCTGTCTAGATGAGGTCCATATTTCTAATTAGTAGTTGAGGTCTTTCACAGTCACAACATCCACCTCAGTCCCATGTTCTACTCTCCCCTTGAAGCTACCTTCCAACACTGAGCTGACATTCCCAGAACACACTAGACCCTTTAAGATCTGGGTGCCCTTGAACTTGCTGTTTGCTGCGATTGGAGTGTCTGTTTCTGTGCCCAAAGGAAAACGTTCTCTAAGCTTTCCCTAACTTAGACAAGCAGAGTTCATTACTTTGTGTTCTATTTGTTTTTATACCTCTCATCTCGATAACGTTTTTTTTGTTTTTGTTTTTTTCAAATTTAAAAAACAATAGTCAGAAAATAAAGTTCTTATATGTCTCCCCAGAGATGCTGCTATGGACTGCTAAATAGCTTTCCAGAACTTTATATAGATGAACTGTCCATAGGACCTCAATATACTGTTCAGCAACATGCATTTACCTTTTGATATGTTTTGGCTATGAACTACCCATTGTGCCAAATGTTCCCTAATTTATTTAATCAGTCCTCTAATTAATCTTCCCCACTCAGGAGCAGTCCTTAAATGAAGAACCTGTAGTTTAAAAATCTGTCTTGTTGGTATTTTTCTATGCCCAACATAGTGTAACGTGAGTAAATTAGTCCATCCAGCCTGGTTTGAGAAGCCACAGGCCGACAGGAGAGGTAATGAAGGCGTGAACTGTAACAGGTGAAGTGGCAAAAGGCAGGAGGCAAGGAGTTCAGAGTATATTCGACGGGGTTCTGTAGGACACAGTGATGATGCCAGGAGCTAAACAGACTAAGAATCAAGGATGAGTCAAAATGTGAGGAGGCAATAAATTCACTTCAATATAAATTTAAGTAGGTGATGGGTCCTTTAGTAAAGATGTCCAGAAGGTGGTGGAATAGTAGGACCAGGTAGAGATTTGAGAGACAACCTGCTTAAAATATTTAGAGATATAACAATCCCTTATCTGCAATTTCAAAATCTAAAATGCTTTGAAATCAAAATGTTTTTTTCCTAAATTTGGGGCAAAACTCATTTGGCAACATCCTGATAATTATGAGGCTACTTATAGTTTTCATCCCACTTACTGTAAATATTCATATGCTTCACTGTAGACATAATAATATGTTTGATTAGAAGATAGTACCTTTCTGGGGAGGGTGTTACATAACAAACAGTAGCTATACGCTATGACTGTTCTAAAATCCAAAACTTCTGAATTCTGAAGCACATCTGGCCCCAACAGTTTCAAGTAAGGGATTTTGTTCCTAAATCAAAGGATAACACAGAGTGAGAAAACCACAGAACCAGTGAGAGAACCTAGGGTGAACTACACACTTAGGAAACAGCAGTGAGAGAGTGACTGAGTCCGGAGAACCCCAAAGGCATCTGAAGGCCTAGTAAGCACTCAGTAAGTGTTTATTCACTGAAAGACTACCATGAAAGGCAAGGAAGGAGAGGTTCAAAGAGTAATCGATAACGCTGAAAGCTCAAAGGACAACTGAAGATAAAACACTCACATTACTAACATATATCACACATTTCTAAAACAGATTAGGCTACAAAAATGAAAAAGGAAACATCAAAAAAGATGACGACTATAATCACACTCAATAGGAAATATAATTAGGCATTAAATTTAGCTTCATGTGTTCCCGGGAATTAGGAAAAGAAGGAACAATAGGCTACAGAATTTCAATAACCTTAAATTCATTAGGAAAATAGAATTTTTCCTAATATTAAATTCTAAAAGCAATATCACAGAGTCTAATGTGAAGGATGACGAACTACCAAATGGTTATCTTCAATAGTAATTTTATAGATGTTCTTTGAACAATCATTTTAATTTTCATCTGACAAAGACAAAATTAAAATAACTCTGGACATATCTTTTCATAGGGTGAGTTAAATGCTTTGAGTGATATACTATTACTATTACTAAATTTATCAAATTTTGAGATGTCGATTTAGTATGTATTGTCACTCAACAAACATTCTGTGTCAAATCCTGGGCAAATTATTAGGGATACATACGAACAAAGTCCCTGTCCTCTAAAATATCAATATATGATAGTTTGGCATAATCTCTAAAGATGTCTTGACTCAGATTTATTTAATATTTAATTGG